CAATCCGATGAGAGTTTCTGCCGGGCCCGCCACCGTGTCCCTCCTGTTTTCCCAAGACTAGCTGGGCCTCGCGGGAGCGTCACGCGAGACCCGCTGCAGTCTTTAGTAAGAGTAAGTATAGAAAAACGCTAGGCTACCAGCCAGGATTCCCGGGTCACCCTATTTTCCAGGGCAGCCCGGCTGTGCAGCCAAAAAAAAAAAAAAAACATTATGCAGAAAAATAAACTGAACAACTTTTGCCTCAAGGTCGCATCGAAATTCTCTACCAAACTTAAAATAACAATTTAAATTAGAAAATGTCAAGATGATTTTTATTTTTATTTTTTTTATTTCTTTTTGGCCCGGCCGGGCAAGTGGACCCGGGCCACTCTGGTAGCCTAGGAAAAAAGGAAAGAAAAAAGTGTGGCCAGAACATCAGAATGACGTCAAACAAATACCAGAAATTGGCAACTGCTCCAAAACAGTATTGACTTAAAAAAGACCTAATAAACCCACTCCAGAGTTCGCGTGATATGAACCCGCAACTTCTGACGTGGCAGACAGCCTTTTGGCTAAGATCAAGAGTAGGTTCTCAAGGCTTCACGCTCGTCCTTTCCTGGCCTAGGTATCTAGAACCATGGACACATAGATAGTACACATAGCACACACACACGACTGAGGCTGGCTGGGGCTTTCGAGGCTTTGCGCTTGGCCTTGTCCAGCCTCGGTATCTGACATCTGTAGAAAGGAAAAGAAAACATGCCAGAGTAGGACACATAGATAGTACACAGATAGCACACACACAACTGGGGCTAACTGGGGCTTTCAAGGCTTCGTGCTTGGCCTTGTCCCGCCTCGGTATCTGACATCTGTACAAAAAAGGAGGAAAAACATGCCAGAATGGGGGTTGGTAGGTGAAATAGACATAATGCTTGAGCCTGGCGCCCGATGTACCAAAGTAATGTGGCTTGCTTGACTGTGCCTCAAATGGGGCTGGGAGCGGCTTTCAAGGCTTCGCGCTTGGCTCTGCCTACATAGCCCTGGTGCCTAGAACTACTGTCTGGTCCAAGTCACCCTCTGAAATAGCATGTTGATAGTCCTGAGTACTCGACACGAGGTAGGATAGTACACATAGGGGTGCGCTAGGAGAATTGCCGAGAGGATCGGTAGGGAGGTGGTCTTACGGAGCATAAGGGAGTGCCAGGGAACCCAATAGCTGTGGCAGTAACCCCGCATGTCCGGAGTCCGGCTTCTACGACAACCTGGGCTTTGTGAGTAGCTGTGCCAGTATCTGATCTGCTGAATTCAATATCTGATCTTGGGTGGGGGGGGAGTTTATGTAAGAGAATGGGAGGCATGCATGATCCATTGCCAGAAGTTGGAGTTTGAACTTACACTCCCTTGCTCAACAGATTCGCCGCTCTGGCCCTTTTCAGCTGAACTGGGTAATAATCATTGAAGTTGTCGATCCCCACAACTCCATCCCCTCTTTTTTTCAAAGCCAGAGACACATGGTAGCCAACAAACCCGGCAGAGCCTGTCACCAAAATCACAGGATGACCCCGTCCTGACGGCTTGGCTGACTGAATGATGCTCCTCTCCCAAGCTGCACCATACTTGACGCCTGGCTGCACTGGTGCCTTCTTCAAAAGCCAAACAGCCCTGAACAGCAATGAAACAGCAAGAGGTCGATCAGGAATACACATCCAATGCAAAGAATCAAAGGCGACAAAAACCGAGTCCTTTCCTATTGCTTGCTATACAGAGTTTCCTTCTCCTGTACCATCATACAGAGCTTACTTTCTAAACTAAAATAAAGAGAGATCGACTGCACACATTTTCCCATTAAGAAATCCAGCAGCTTAAGCTTTGCCTACAAAGAAGATTCATTGCAGGCTCACATAACATGCACTCAAACCTACTTGACATCATCCAATACCAACAGCAGAAACACACCTTACACTTTTACAAGCCGTCGTTTATTGTCCTTTTCTCCCGCTCAGCCTATGGCTTACTGGGCAGTTCTGTTTGACGATACATATTGTCCCATAACTATACAATATATATATCGTGGCTCAATCAGTAAAGAGTCAGTTTCAGTAAAGCGTCGGTTTCAGACCCATTCAAACATTTGAACGAAAGGTTCAGATGGGTTTAGAGGAAGCAGCCAGAGTGGTTAGGGTAAGAGATGTGGAGGGCAGCACCTGCTACTTCAACAAAAAAAAATAGACAATAGGTAGAAGACCCACCTCCTAGGGACATATTACATCACCAACGACCCTGCGACTCGACTTCAGTCATCGAAGTCCACGGTGGGACCGTGACCATTGACCACAAAATACAACGAGTTCCCTTCAGACTTACCTCAGTGAGTGCACCGTGTTGCAAAATTGCTTCACATACCGTCTTCCCCTGAACGCAACGCACCCTGATAACGAATGTATACAAGCTATCTTTCCCATAAATCTCTCTCTCTCTCTCTCTCTCTCTCTCTCTCTCTCTCTCTCTCTCTCTCTCT